CAGAGCACCTCAAGTCACTTCAAGTCACCTTATGAACTGTATATTTAATGGTGTATATACATTTGAATACTTATATTGTGATTTTCTTTTAGCGCTGCACTCCTTATTTACATTGTCTGTTTACAGGTTTTTTGGTTACCTGGTGCACAGCTGCTTTATTCTTTGTGTGCGCTCACAAATATTTACTTTATTTATAAATGATTTATGTTTTTAGTCATAGCAATCATTACTTCTACTGGAGAGTCTGAAATGTATTGGCTTCAGTGCAATCAAAAACTGGTATAACATTTGGGGGTTAAAGTATTCTCATTTCCAACCAGTGTTCTTGGTCTTTTAAATGATAATACTAAGTCTAAGGCTAGGTTCATACCTATGCAGGTTGCATTTGAGTCGTTTCTGCACAGTGCTTTGCATTGCCCTTTTGAATCGTTTTGCTTTTTTTCTAAATGCTTTTAATTTTTCTTGATGGTTGGCAAATTTAAAACACAAAACGCAGCAAAAACACAATACATGCTCTGCTGCAGCATTTCTATTGAAGTCTATAGAATCAAAAACGCAACTTTTTGAGTTAAAAAATGTCCCTGACCCTTTCCAAAAAAGCACACTGGGTGAAAACGCACAGGTGTGAACATGTCCCATAGGAAATCATGTTAACATCATCAACAATGTCATGTTGACTGTACTTTCTGCTTAGGAAAATGCTTAGGTGTGAACCTACAGTAACAGTTATTATCACCTCTTTCATTCTTTGTTGCACCTTATATCAACTAATCTTCTACAGCCTTCTACAGCCACTTCCTGTCTACATGCACTCAAGCATGCATATCATTTCTTAAGGAGAATCTCTTGGTTGTGATAACAGTGCCAGATGCCTACATAATGTGTGTTGAAATGTTCACTTGCAGTCTTAATTGGAATCCCTTGTGACAGGGTGACTGTGCAGATGCACAACTGGTTGACAGGGACAGAGCACTTTTACAATAGAAATGAAAATGCTTGAGGAACGTTCTTGTAAAATCACTAATTATTAATTGAATTAAAGCTGTAGATTTACAAATATTTTAAAAAATTAACTCAAAATCTATTTTAACTTGTTCTTGGTACCATAAACCCCCCGGAAAGAGAAACTATCCATGCCTACAGCTATTGTGCTGATTATGCTGACTTCATCACTTCTAGGCTTGTGATTTATGCATCATGACCCCTGAAAGGACAGCTGAGCCTTTGACAAACAGCTGGGTAGGTTTCAAACATGTATAGAAAGTGATAGGATTTACATATTCCAGAAAAAAAACAATTAATTAAGCAATCAACCCAATGCACTTAAGCATTTGCAAATTAATCTTGAATAACATTTAATGCATTGCATGGAATTACCATTTAATGCAATGTGTCATTGTGTCATCTATTATATTCTCTATATGTTTTCTGTAAGTTTTGTAAATGGCCATGTTTTCTGGATAGTAGAAGTAAAGTAGTTATATGTTCAGTTGCATAGATCAAGGACTAGAGAGCCATTTACACTATTTAGACTGAAATTGTTTTCTATGACTTTTCATTGCTAACAGTGGCCAGCAGAGGCAGTGCTTCCCTTTTAAACTCACACATAATGTATAAGCCGTAGTAATGAGACATTTTCAGAAATTAGCATTGATTTGGATGGAGAAATGCAGAAATGAGCATATGGAAATTCTTTATTAGTTCTACAGCCACTCTATTTAGTAAGATTAGACATGCAAGGCAGCAGTCAGCACAAGAGATATTTTGTTTCTACACAATGTAAAATGACAGTTTGTTAAATAAACAGATTTTCCCTAGCAAGGACATATGGTTGACAAATTGAAGCCACAAATCACAGTAATTAATATTATTATGTAATTATTTTACAAAAGCAGGGCATGCTAAACTGTTATTTTTCCAGTAACAGAAAAGAGGACACTGCAAATCCTAATCCTCAACACACAGAGTTAACCAGATTTGCTTATGAGCTGAGCTTTATCTACCCTTTTCAGGAAATTAAACTTCTGTCTGGTTTACCACAGAACATTACAGATCTTTATCTGTAAATTGAAGCGGTGTGTGCAGCGTCCGTACATCTGATTCTCACAGGTCTAATAAAATCCTTGTCAAAACATATTAGTGTCATAATGTCCTTAATATAATATCTAAAAGGTAACTCAATATCTAAGAACAACCAGCTTCACAAAATAAGAGAAAAAGTTTTCATTTTATATACAGTAGATTACTTGTATTGAGATTCTTTGTTATTCAAATTTAAAAGATGGCAAAGACATACGTTTAGGCACGTTGGACATTATAAATCTAATGGGCTTTATAGAGCTGGTCCAATCTTGGCTTCTATTGTATATAGGCCTAATGGTTTATCCAGGCAAGAGACTCATTTTAGGAATATTCACAATAAACCAAAATAGGTCATCTTCAAATTTGTTGTAAAATGCCATTATTTTATCACAAATTCATAAGGGGCTTAGCAGAAAGAGATAAGTATTCTGGATTGGATAGATTGGTATTCAATCTGGTTCATTTATTGGTTTTTAGCAATGGCAACCCAGTAATGTTAGCTTTCAATGAAATCCTTGCACACATTTAGCTATAGTGTAGAGCAGTGGATAAAAAGCCGTAACTCAGGGCTTTGTCCTAAACTACCTCCTGCTGGACTGTCCACTACTTCCTGTTTGTGCAGGGCACTGCTGTATATTTCAGAAGAAAGTGATGTTATTACTGCAGGTCTTAACTAGTGGGCACTGCTGTATATCACAGAGGCAGAAAGTAACGTTATTGTAGTAGGTTACCACTAGAGGGCACTGCTGTATATTACAGAAGCAGAAAGAGGTGTTATTACAGTTTGTCTCCACTAGAGGGCACTGCTGTATATTACTTCTGTAACAGGAAGAGATGTTATTGCAGTCTATCTCCAGTAGAGGGCACTGCTGTATAATAGGGAAGCAGAAAGAGGTGTTATTGCAGTTTGTTTGCACTAGAGGGCACTGCTGTATAATACAGAAGCAGAAAAGGGATGTTATTGCAACTTATCTCCATTAGAGGGCACTGCTGTATAATACAGAAGCCACATACACATTTGCTGCTCATTCACACTAGACAGCCCTTCAGAAGGGACTGTCCAGTGTATGGCCAGCTGCATGTGCCCAAATAATATAGTGCACTGGACACTGGTCCTGTGTCTAGAGGTGTGCCTGGAAGGAGGTGCATATTGCTTATAAGAGGGAAGGACCCTCTAGACATTGGGAGGAGTTTTGGGTGTTTCACTGACGATGAAAGAATCAGATATTAGGTGTCCATTAAACCCCCAATATTACCTCTGCACCTCATTAAAACTGATCACGCACAGATCATGCTTGATCAGCTTTTTCCCTGCCACAGGGCTCTGAAATTAGAAGTAATAAGAAGCTCAGTGCTTCTGGCTTTATTCCGTGCAGAGACAAACAGCAAACTAATGATTGCTGATTGTCCTCCGCTCTCCCCTGCTGACATCTGCCATGGCACCCAGAAGGGGCAGTGGAGCCCAGGACACATGGTGGGGGGGGGGGGGCAGGTGGAGAAACACATACACAGTGCATTCAATCAACTGTGGCGAGCAGCAATGTGGCCAGATTTGTACCCTGTACAAATCAATGGCTGGCGTCTCCATTGTTTGTATGTGACCTCTCACCTGTGAAGTTACCGACAATTTCAGATTCTGACCTGGAAGCGGACTGTTTGGGGTTTATTTACTAAAGCTGGAGAGTCCAAAATCAGACTCCCTTCTGCATAGAAACCAATCAGCTTCCAGGTTTCATTGCCAAAGCTTCATTGAACAAGCTGAGGTTAGAAGCTGATTGGTTTCTATGCAGAAGGGAGTCTGATTTTGGACTCTCCAGCTTTAGTAAATAAACCCCTTTGTGTCCAGGGATAGCATTTCTGGATACCTACAAATTGACAACAGCTAATTATTCAATTTGTATGGGGCCATAGCACAAAGTGCTGCTGCATCCAACTGACACAGTAGCCTCTTCCCCCTCATTCACCTGTCTGAATGAGGCCTTTAAGATGCATACCCATTTTTTTTAATTTATCTTTTCTTCCCTAAGTAATAGGAGAAATCTGAATAAGCACTTTTAGACTTGTGCCAAGTACACATGATAAGAAAATCAGCCGAAAAACACTGCTTACGGAGCGATCGTGCGATAATCTGATCGTTAGTACACAGCTTTCAAGAGCCGATCACAAAAGTTCATGCATAACTATCCAAAGGGACAAAACTCAAAAAATTTTTCATAAGATAGCAGAACAAATGATTTTCCTGTAATCAGTACAGTATTCGTCCCTAAAAAACCAATGCCGCGCATGCTCAGAAATGAAAGAATACATTATACTATCTTGTATAATAATACTACAATTAATAATACTATAATACTTCATCGCATGATACTGTATTCTGTCTTGATAATTTTTGCAACTTTAGTAACTTATTCATTGTTAATATCATGCTAGCATTAAAAAAAAATGGACAATCATTTGTCTGATGTTCTCATCGTGTGCATGAGGCACTAAGGACCCTTTCACATTGCTCCACTAAAAACACTTTAAAATGAATGTGCTTTTTTTTCACGCATTTGTTATGTATTTTCTGGATGCTTGACTCGCAGCACACAGCTGTGAAACATTGATATGTGAAAAGCGCATCAAAATACGATCGTGGTGCATTTGTGATGCACTTTCATTTCAATGGGGAAGCAAATTTTTGGTGCACTTTTTAAACATGCACCAAAAAGGCAGCATGCAGAAAAATACCCTGCACCTGCAGCGCATTAGTGTAAAGAGGTCCAAAGAGGATTTAAAGGGGTGCATTTTTCAAGCATTTTTATTCTGCTTTTTAACCTCCTCCCGCCCGCCATATAAGGTAATGATGGGTGCAAGGCGGTTATCTCGTTCTGGTAGGACGTCATATGACGTCCTCCCATTCTAACCGCGCATGCACGGCTCCAGGAGCGGACACAGCGGATCACTGATCAACGGAAAGAGCCAAAGATGTCGGCTCTGTCATGTGATCAGCAGTGTCCAATCACAGTTGATCACATGTAAATAGTGAAATGCCGGTAATTGGCATCCCTCAGAGGGAACATGTGAACTGATCATCAGGGCACTGATGATCAGTGTGCCCTGATGATCTGTGTAGCCCCAGCTATGCCACCTGTCAGTGTCCGTCAGTGTCAGCTGTCAGTGCTCATCAGTGCCACCTGCCAGTGCCCATCAGTGCCCCATCAATGCCATATATTAGTGCCCACCAGTGCACATCAATGCCACATATTAGTGCCCACCAGTGCACATCAATGCCACATATCAGTGCCCATCTGAGCTGCCTTTCAGTGTCACCTATCAGTGCCAGTCAGTGCCACCTATCAATGCCAGTCCGTGCTATCTATCAGTGCTGTCAATCAGTGCGCATCAGTGCCGATTATCAGTGCCCATCAGTGCTGCCTATCAGTGCCGCCTAACAGTGCCAATCAGTGCCGCCTAACAGTGCCAGTCAGTGCCGCCTAACAGTGCCACCTAACAGTGCCGCCTAACAGTGCCATATATGAGTGCTGCCTTTCAGTGACCATCAGTGATGCCTGTCAATGCCCATCAGTGCCACCTACCAGTGCCTTCTCATCAGTGCCCATCAGTGCCCATCACTGCAGCCTCATTAGCGCACATCAGTGAAGAAAAAAAATCACTTATTTACAAAATGTTATAACAAAAACTAAGAAAAAAAATTTTTTTTTTCAAAATTTTCAGTGGTTTTTGGTTTGTTTAGCAAAAAATAAAAAACCCAGAGGTGATTAAATACCACCAAAAGAAAGCTCTATCTGTCTCAAAAAAATGAAAAACATTTCATATGGGTACAGTGTTGCATGACTGCGCAATTGTCATTCAAATTGTGACAGCACTGAAAGCTGAAAATTGGCCTTTGCAGGAAGAGGGTATAAGTGCCCAGTAGGCAAGTGGTTATATACCAAAAGCGCATCAAAAATTGATCAGCGTGAAAGGGCCCTTAAGTACTGAACAAGCGGGTGCAGCAGCAGACCGTTAGTGAAATGCTCTCTATTAATGAAATGCATTAATCACGATGGACCAGGTCTGGTAGCATAAGCAAGGGTCACGGTTTCTTGCTCCATTATGCATTATGCATCTGGTACTACTGTATATCTTTCCTGTCAAATAAGATCAATGCTTTTTTTTTTTATTTAATGGTTGAACTGGATGGACTTTTGTCTTTTTCAGCCAGACTAACTATGTAACTATATGACAGCTACTTTAGATATCCAGCAAGCACATTCTAAAAAAAGCCGTCTTATAAAAAAGATTTACTTTAAAAACACAGAATACTGAAAAAAAAAAAAAAAACCTGTAATTTTAAACAGTAAAATCATGTAGCTCAAATATAAGCACACCTGCATCATTTTTATTTTGGTGCCTTTAAATACACATTTGGTTTCTCTTTAATTATATAGCAGACTTCCTTTTCCCTGCGCCTGTGCTTAGTGATATGGTGTACCGAGGATGCTGCCTATATTTAGCATGTTCCTACTACATATGCATCATTGTATTCACAAGCTGCCCGTACATCCGCTGTTTACTATATTAAGGTGACAAGCTAGTGGTGATGGAACAAGACATAGCTTATGTTATCTCTCGCTAATGCCGTATTACTCATGGAGCTCTCTTAAATGAAAAAAAAAATTACAGATGCTGATAATTATTCAGTTCTCTTCTATGCAGCTTTTCCTTCTGCAGTGTAGCGTGGGTAGTGTGTTCTGCAGAGCAGATCTGCCCCACCCTTCATTCATTCACCAGTGCATGCAATTCCGGTCACTGCCTTTTTCCATAAATGTCTTTCTCAATTCCGTGCACCCAAAAAAAAACCAACTTTATCCTTTAAAAAAAAAAAACTGCATCTGCTCTATGAAATGATATTTGCTGTGGCACAGTCTTCAGCCCTATTTTAACACTATTTTTACTCCGTATAAATATTCATGTTTTCAGCAGTACAAACCAATCCAATGTCATGTTGACATATCCAATGGGCTTATGCGCAGGTTAATGTTATGCTGCCTCATTTAGCAAATTCATACATGCATTTGGGAAATCACAGGCAGAGGAGAAGGAGGCGAGGAATAATACGACCTTGCCCCTAACCTGATTACAGTTTGATGGGAACTTGGCACAGGCACTGCAGTGGATTTTTAGCCGGGGTGTTTAGCAAACGTTTCAAGAGTTAAGTAAGAGGAAAAAATAGACACAGCATCTAAGCAGTGATCTGGAAAGCAAACCTGAATTACAAAGCAGCTCTAGCTTGTGCTCCTAAGTACTGTCTGCTGGGTTCACAAGTTCAGGACAGTATTATATTTAGTATAATCCTCATACGACATATCCTCCATTAAAGAAATTACAACAGCAAGAAAAATTGTGTTTGAATATGAGTGTCTACTTCAGATAGTTTTAGCTGGTATATATTTTTTCTTGGTAAGAATAATGTAAATGTGTTTAATACCCTGCAAGTGCTCTTCAACCTATAAAATACACAACACTTTCCAAAGAAATATATAATTTGTTTGCAAAAAACAAATTTCTTGTAATTAAACTTTAAGTACTCCTGTTCTACAACATCCCTCCGTGTCTTATTTTTCCCTATCTTCCCCTTCAATCCACAGCAAGTACATTCCCCCCTGTTTTCCATCTCTTCTTCAGCAGTATATACTCATTGTCCTCCAACAACCACAGTATATATACACCAGTCCTCCACCTGTCCCCCACTGCTAGAAGTACATACTCACCTATCCTCCACCTGTCTCCAACACTTAAGCTGTACACAGTACACTCACCTGTTATGCACCCCCAGCAGTATGTACTCACCTGTCCTCCATCTGTCTCCAACCCTAAGCTGTACACAGTACACTGTCTGTTATCCACCCTAGCTGTACATAGTACTTACCTGTTATCCACCCTCGGCAGTACACTCACCTGTTATCCTCCAACCTCAGCAGTACATACTCACATGTCCTCCACCTGTCTCCAACACTAAGCTGTACACAGTACACTCACCTGTTATCCACCCCCAGCAGTATGTAGTCATCTGTCCTCCACCTGTCTCCAACCCTCAGCTGTACACAGTACACTCACCTGTTATCCACCCCCAGCAGTATGTATTCATCTGTCCTCCATCTGTCTCCAACCCTCAGCTGTACATATTCACTGTCCTCCACCTGTCTTCAACCCTCAGCTGTACATAATATACTCACCTGTTATCCATGTTATCCACCTCCAGCACTATGTAGTCATCTGTCCTCCATCTGTCTCCAACCCTAAGCTGTGCACAGTACACTCACCTGTTATCCACACCCAGCAGTATGAAGTCATCTGTCCTCCATCTGTCTCCAACCCTCAGCTGTACATACTCACCTGTCCTCCACCTGTCTCCAACCCTAAGCTGTACACAGTATATTCTCACCTGTTATCCACCCTCAGCAGTATGTAGTCATCTGTCCTCCATCTGTCTCCAACCCTCAGCTGTACATACTCACATGTCCTCCACCTGTCTCCAACCCTCAGCTGTACACAGTACACTCACCTGTTATCACCCTCAGCAGTATGTAGTCATCTGTCCTCCATCTGTCTCCAACCCTCAGCTGTACATACTCACATGTCCTCCACCTGTCTCCAACCCTCAGCTGTACACAGTATACTCACCTGTTATCCACCCTCTAGCAGTATGTAGTCATCTGTCCTCCATCCTGTCTCCAACCCTCAGCTGTACATACTGACCTGTCCACAAACCCTCAGCTGTACACAGTATACTCACCTGTTATCCACCCTCAGCAGTATGCAGTCATCTGTCCTCCATCTGTCTCCAACCCTCAGCTGTACATACTCACCTGTCCTCCACCTGTCTCCAACCCTCAGCTGTACACAGTATATTCACCTGTTATCCACCCCCAGCAGTATGTAGTCATCTGTCCTCCATCTGTCTCCAACCCTCAGCTGTACATACTCACATGTCCTCCACCTGTCTCCAACCCTCAGCTATACACAGTATACTCACCTGTTATCCACCTCCAGCAGTATGTAGCCATCTACCCTCCTCTATCTCCAACCCTCACCTGTCCTCCACCTGTCTCAACCCTCAGCTGTACACAGTACTCACCTGTTATCCACTCCAGCAGTATGTAGTCATCTGTCCTTCCATCTGTCTCCAATCCTCAGCTATACATACTTACCTGTCCTCCACCTGTCTCCACCCCAGCTGTACATAGTATACTCTCGCCTGTTATCCACCCCATCTGTCTTCAACCCTCAGTATACATACTCACCTGTAGTCCACCTCCAGGAGTATGTATCATCTGTCCTCCACCTGTACCCACACCCAGTATACTTATCTGTCCCCCACCCCCAGCTTTACATACTTACCTGCCCTCCACCCCAGCTGTATGCAGTATACTTACCTGTCCTTCACCTCCAGATGTTTACACTTACCTGTCCTCTCCCTGCCCCCCACCCCCCAGCAGTATCTGGAAGAGTGATGACATTACCATAGGTAAAGTGCAGTGCTGTCACCCTTCCAACAGTGATGATTTCATTTTATCATTGATGCTGTGACTATGATGTTTTTTCTTAATATCTGGTACTGATTCAAGCCAGAAGTGTAAGACTCCCCTCCAAACCAATATCACACAACCAGGCCTATTTACCAATGCAATACAGAGAGCAATAACAGTGTATTCTGTGTTACCTGAAGTCAAACTCCAGGCTGATATAAAAACATGCCTGTGCCAAAATTAACCTTTAGACATATAACCACTTGCCCTCCAGAAGATTTGCCCCCCTTTCCTGACCAGGCCACTTTTTGCGATATGGCGCTGCACGTCACTTTAACTGACAATTTTGCGGTCATGCAACACTGTACATAAATAAAATGTATGATCACCTTTGCGTTTTTTCTTTTCTGAGCTATAATCAAAAAAAGAACGATAATTTTGAAAAAAAAAACAATATTTTTGATTTTTTGCTATAAAACATATCCAATAAAAAACTTTAAAAAGTCTAATTTCTTTATAAATGTATGCCAAAAAGTATTCTGCTACATGTCTTTGGAAGGAACTCCGCTTTAAATAATATAACACTAGTTTAAAAAAAATAACTTTACATTTACAACATTTTTTGTGCCCAGATCCTGGTTCCCCTGAACCAGGAATGTAGCCCCAGTTGCAGAGATGTCACCTGGGAAGGAAAACTATCACTAGTGCCTTCAGGGAGATCCCATATCTAAGCTTCAAAATCTTGCAGTATTCTCATACTGCGCATAGGTGAGATGAAGTGTGAAATATAATGTGCTTCATCTCATGCATCTGCCCTACAGCATTAAGAGTGTAATATTGTATACCACATGTGCAAGATGAGGCGTCTAATGTCAGGTATTCTGTGTTGTGTATGCACAGCATGACATACATTTTCAAAAATGGTAGCATGGGAGCAGGGATACCAGCTGCATAGAGGCAGCCTGAAAATGCATCCATAAGAAGTAAAGGCTGTG